CGCCCTGCTATAAAGGTCAGTTATAGATTCATGCATGTACCATTTTTTCTCCTTCTAACATCAGGATCTGACTGATTCGCTATAAATGCCCCAGTCCGTAGGTTACACAGGGAAAGTAATGGGATCACTATTTTATCTGTATTTCTTCATACAGGTAATGTCACAACAACAAAAACAAAGTCAATGCCGGTCGGCTCTGTCTATGCAAAGTAACATTAGAGAAGAGTTCATAGCAATGTAAGAGTCATGGATACTTGTGGTTGGTTGTGTTGCCACATTTGGGGTACCCTCCGAGGTTTGACTGAGAGAGAGTCCTGGAACTCAAGAGGATCCTATGTGATCACTGGCGAGCTTCTACTGGTACTCTGTCTTAAGGTACACTGTCCCTTTAAGATAAGCAGGAGTCCGACGTCCAGGGTGAATTGTTTAGTAGTTGGAAGCAGTCAGCTTCAGTGGGAGGATTGGAAACAATAGGAAACGGTCTCTGGTTTCTCTGGTATCACAGTCTGCAAGGCTGACATGCAATGACCGATCACAGTGCGGAGGAGGCAGAGCAGCGAGTAGAGCTGTCAGTGAGAGGGAAGAGCAGAGCGCTGACTCATACTCTGCAACTGAAGGAGACAGCCGACGGGGGAAAATTATCAGCGTCTGAACTTATTACTGAGACGCCGGCCATTTCAAATTCCGCGGCTTTATTCTGACAGCTAGTGGCGAGTGGCAGCGTGACGCTGGGGAAGTGGTTGGCTCCGAACGCCGCTCTGGGATCATGGACGGGTAAGTATCTTACATGCTCTCCCTCACAGCAGACTAAAGTTAAAGAAAAAAAATTGCGCAAGCTTCGGCGCTATGTATCGGGGCATTTTGACAAGTACTTGTCAAAATGCCCTGTATCGGTCCCGATACCGATGCTAGTAGCGGTATCGGGACATCCCTATCTCCAACCAATCTCTACTTCAAAGACCTATGCCTACAAAAAGAGGGGGAAAAAAGAATTTCTACTTATGAGAGCCAATGGTTTCTCTACCCTGTCTTCCAGAAGTAAATCTGTGTATATTGGTCAGGGTTAGTGATAAAGAGACATTTGACACTTTGAAAAGCTAACTCTAATGGTTCATTTGAGGAATGTTTTCTCATTTATACACTGCTGTAGGACACAAAATGGCTGCTTTATACCATCTAGTTGCTGAATATTAATTGCAAGCCCTGTTGAGTGTACTAATCAGCAGGAGGGTTGGTGTTAATTCACCTTACCCAGAGCAATGCCACTTTATTCAGAGGTCATTCAGCAGTACGGCAAACTTTGTTCAAAGCGAGAATTCTTGTATATTTGAATAAAGCAATCCTGATGTTAATCACAATTGTCTCTTATCATGCCTATCTTGACTTTGTGAGACTGTCCAATTAATGTCTTCAGACACTTCAAGATGACTTGAAAGTGAGAAGGTCACATTAAGAATGAATGTTCCCCTTAGATGTTACAATGTCTGATACTTTGTGTTTTCTATTTGGTAGTACCAAACTCTACAAACCCTGTGGATTGTTAAAACTATCTTTTATTCTCTTTGAATGTAACTCCAAAGTCCAATGTCAATCCTAACTGAGTATATTTCAAACAATCCAACAAAGCTTTTATCAAAGGGAAAAATGTATGTGTGCTCTCTAGTGGAGCACTCATAAAGTCACCTACACAGTGACTGCTTGTCATGCTAATTAGGTGTTTACAGACTAACACTATGGGCTTCACATTTCTCCATAACCTGTAATGCCTGAGCCCAGCCATAGGCAGGTATGGATAGCTGATTTAAAGGATATTTGTACTTTAGGCCCTTCTGAAACATTATTAAACTATGCCCAGACTTTTAATCAAAAAAGCAAAGTACAATACCATAGCATAATGCAATCTTCCTGTAGCCCGTGCAGTGTTTACTAGTCATGGAAGTAACGTACACTCAGACAATGGAAACAGCAAATCACAGAATCTATGGCAGGCTTGCGCAAAGTTAATAGTGGAAAGTCCACCACTCCTCCTTCCATGGTTTTAACTTAAATGTGGCTAACCCCTAAGACTGTGTAGGAGTAGAAGAGCTAGCAAACACTGTGTTGGCTCCAAGTATTGCAGCCCATTATTTATCTATTCATCTCAAGTCTGTTGCCACAAAAAAAATTAAAGTGAACCTGTCTAATATGGATTATTTTTTAAAGAAACGGGTAATTAGCATGCAACAGAAGTCACCTTACACCATAAAAACGGTGCCTGTAAGTACCTTTAAATCTTTCAAATGGTTTTCAGGGAGCCCCAATACTAGGCACACAGACCATAGAATTGGCCTTAACATATTTAAGCTAGAGAAAATCCTAACTCAATACCATTTAACAATGCAATACCAATGCCCTACCATTCAACAGGATCTGTTGAATGGTAGGGTGCATGGCTTCGCTCCAGATAGGTTGTGGTGGGCAGGAGGAAGAGTTTAGATGCAAATTAAGGGCCCCATTATAGACACTGTGGCCACAATGGGCACTCTACAAAGTCTTTTTGGCACCATTTGGTATATATTTAACCTTTTTATTACTTTATGTACTAATACACATTAGACAGGAATCACTCTGAAATGTGAGTATCAGTCCACTTAAACACTTGCCCAATCATGTGCAAGTGCTTTCACATTTTCCTTATACAACCACTTTAAAATGCATCAATGCAGTACTCAGTAAAACAAGGTGTTCATTATTCTAGGACCATTTGTTTATTCACTTGTCATCACCAGTGGATTAACTCACACAACAAAGATTCCCTCCAAGGAGTTTCCAATTATAAAGTAGCACTTTTTCATTAATACTGTTTCAATTTAAAGTTTTCTATACAAGAAGAACTAATATTCTTCTGGCTCATAAATATTTTCATATACAATCTTTACAACTGATGAAGCATTTTATGGTTGAATATTTTCCCTGTTTGCCTATAAAATATGTACAGCTTTGTTTTGTTTATACCCATAGTCTGCTTACACTTATAAAAGTAAAAGCAATGGAAATGTGTTCCATAGGTTTACTAAAATTACTTATTTGTTCAAATTCAGTAAAACTGTGGTTGTAACAATTTTTTTACATGTGATAGGAAAATGCTTTTGGAAGGAATGCAAGAAAACTCATAATTTTTTAACATAAAATAAAAAAAACAAATGATCTGTAACATAAAAGAAAAAACTTTTTACTAGCATTTTGCAAAGTTTTCAGCTTTGTTGATACTTTGTTGATAAAGCAAGTGCAATTCCTGTCTTCACATTTCCTTTCTTTTCTGTAAGTGGGTGACTCAAATAACATCTACATCAGACAACTAGTCAATTAAAGTGACCATGTCACTAGACAAAAAAATATTTTAAATAAACCACAAGCACCCTGCAAAATATGATTAGTAATACTTACCAGTCCAGGGGGTGCTGGTGATGCCAACTTTCAGCATCTGATACTTCTAGGTGTAGCAGTTACCCATGTTTCCTGCTCTATGCTATGGTTCCACCCATTGCATTACTACTGTGTCTTGTAGTAAGAGGCAGGTGGCACCACAGATACAGCAGGGAAAAAGAAATTCCACGCACCGGGAAGTGTTAGATAACAGTGGTTGGCTGAAGCTCTGCAAAAGAACAAAGACTGGCATATCCACCCACCAGACTAAGTATTACTAATCTTCTTTTGCAAGGTGCTTGTAGTTTCATTAGTGTTGTATGGCATCATAGCCACGTTAATACAGAGAAGAGTGGTTTGTTGAAGTACACTAAGAAAACAGCGTTCTAAAAATCATTAGGGTGGTAGTAAAGAAAGATTTGAGGGATTGTGGAAAAACATTTAAAAATAATAATAAATTTGTAGATCAAAAAGTAGTGCAGACTACTTTATTTTTAGACATATATACAGACGGTAAAAATAAAAGGGCCTATTTATAGCAGTGAATGCCACTTTCACCAAACATTCACTGTTTGGTTAAAGTCACATTCTAGCTGGTGAATGTTATGTAAGGCACATGCACCTAGACGTGTCACCTGCAACAATGTCTGGTGAAAGTCAAATTCACGTCTTTATAAATATGCTCCTAAGTGTTTGCATTAGTCTTGAAGGAGCTTAAAAAGTGGACTAAAATATCCAAAGCCCCGCTACCCTACATATACAAAAGCAGGACTTTTAAGAATCAGAAGGACAGTAACAGCATCCTGAGTATTATATGCTTAATTTCCTGTTGCCCAGATAGACAGTTGACCATTGGGACATTGAACCATTACTCTATCTCTTGTCCTTTCCAAAGAAATATTCTCCTTATTTTCTGGATTTGTGATGGAAAAGATATTTTAATATTCTGGGGCAATGCATAAATTGGTTATATTATGTTGGAAACAATCTTATAATAATAAACATATTAAAGCAAATGGATTTGTCCAGCAAGGGCAGAGTTGGACTGGGTTCATTCCCTCAGAGTCTTCTTTGTGGTTTGGGACCTTCATGGGTTTACCCACAAACCTATTAAAGTAGAACTAAAATTCAAGACAGAAGAGCCCTTGTATGTCTCTTTTTTCAAATGCAAAATGCAGTGTACTCTTCTGGACAACTCCCAGCATCTGTAAGATGGAGCTGGGTGCCAGGACAATGCAACTGCAGCAGGAGTCATTCGTGTATAGCATCACATCTAATTTTCCTCTGTACATAATGCCATCTAGATTTTATTTGCTCGCCATTTTAAAAAGAAAACACAATGGATACTTCACACATAAATCTGTTGACATTTCACACAGTTTTAATCATATAGGTGGTGTGGTGGTTACAATGAAACGATAATGCAGCTAAACCTTTCATAAGTACTATTTTCATATTTCTGATCTGTTCCAGTCTGCTACCACATTAATACAACACAAATTGCATATTTCAAGCAATGACAAACTGTATGTGGGTTGGTTCAAGTGGGGGTATAGAATACACCTAAATGAGCAACCCAACACCATAACACTCACCTCATGCCTTCTGTTGAGCTGTTCTGATAATTTCGGTACAGCTGAGGAACACCAAGCATAGCCTCTGTGAATACTGCTAGAAAGCCAAGTGTCTCTACATAGAGCACAGAGTCTATGGACAGATACGTGATATATCCAACAACAGCAGTGAACGCCAGCACACACTGCACGTAGTCTGTAAATCTGCTCCAGTGCCAGAAGAAGTTCATATCAAAATCTGCAACAACAGAAGTTAAAAGTCATGAAAAAAAGTTTTTGTTTTTTTTTTTCTTTACAGCATTAAAATTTTGGTAGATCAAGTTCAAAACCAAAAATATAAAATGTTTGGAATGTTTTTTTAAAAATAGTTAAGTACAGTTCAACAGCTCAAGCACACAGTGAGAGGAATGACTCATCTTCCTTCCCTAATCCCCCTCCCCTGCCCTGTTCAGAAGGTGCCAAGTGGATCTTAGATCAAGGAGAGACAGTCTGATTGCACACAGCTTCTGCTTTGCCCTCTCTTTAGAACACACATAATGCTCTGGGAATCTTGTGTCAGGCTATTACAACGGCTCTACTTCTATTTATCCATGTAAACACAGTGGAAACATGTTGTTTGTATAATGGAAGAAATGTAATAGAGGGCTCAAAAATTGTTCTCACATAGGGTGTTCACTTTGTTCACCATTGGTCACGGGTATAATCTGTACTATATGTTATCAAGCCTCATTAAGGCCCCATTCACACTGCGTTTGTCGCGCGATTTGCAAGTTTGCGCGATATCGTGCAAATGCTTGCATTGAGCAAGCTTGAATCGCGGCTTAATCCGCTCCAAAAAGGGTCCTGCTGTAGCGACGCACGACCCGCGACAGCAGGACCCTTTGCCCCAGTGAGAAGCATTGGAGAGCGATATCGCTAAGTGTGAATGGGGCCTAAGGTGATGGAGGACCAGAGCTATGGAGACAAATCTACTAAATTTAAACATGTTCACATTGGAAGTAAGGAGATTAGGGGGGGACATGATTTTCATGTACAAAATGTTTACCGGGGATAGCAACATTAGCAGCAAACTTTTTTCAATTAACTCCATGACAAGAACGAGGGGCCACCACCTAAAATTGGTGGAGAAAAAAATTTCAGCACAAGGGGTGAAGGGGGTTCTTCTCAGTTAGAGCGGTTAGGGTCTGGAACTCGCTGCCACATGCTGTGATTTCAGCTAAGAGTGTGGAATCGTTCAAGAAGCGATTGGACGATATTCTCCGGGACCGTAATATACAGGGGTACAAGTACTCTTAGGAAGGTGATCACATGCGGACATATACATTCACACACATTAGTAGAATTATATACATGCATTCAATAGGTTGGACTTGATGGACTTATGTCTTTATTCAACATCAAATACTATGTAACTATGCTTGTCTGTAAAACAAAATGTATGCATGGTTAAACAAAAAGACAGTTTAAAGAAAGTATAAAAACTTAGCATGGAAAAGTATAAAAAACGCATGAAAAATGTAAAACAAATATTTAAAGCAGTGAATTTGATATTCAGCACCCATTCTCTGCAAGAAAATCATCCAGGTCCACTTGTTTTAAATGACAATGATTGGGTCTCAGAGGTGAAAGTCACATTCACTGCTCTATAAATAAACCCCATAGTATCCCTTTGAGGCTTCTCCAAAAATCAGAGCATGGATCGTTTCATTGTCATCAGCAAACCATCCATCTACTTTCAGGCACATGTTGCCAATTACCTAAAGAGATATCTTCCCTTACTAATGTTATCTACATCATATGGTCAATATATTAAAATTTAAATTAGAGCTCAACCCAAAACTTTTTTTTAATTGAACAAAATTGATAAAAGGTTTTTAACTCTGTCAGGTTTTTTTTGCAGTTTGTGCTCCTATTTGGGAAATTCACCTAGATAGTGAAGGACATTTTACAGTCACTAGAAAAAGAATAGAAGATACATTTTCCAACCACAACTGTGGGATCATTTTAACTCAGTTCATGTGGTATTTTCTGAAGTGATATCTCACAAAAAAAGAAATAGAAAAAAAAAAAATGGAAAAACATTTGGGCTGGAGCAAAATACATATATGTTGCAAAGATTTTGTATTGCATTCATTTATGGGGACTGTCATCTTTGTCCCATGTTGGGGAATATTGTTCTGGCAATTTATAAGAACCTGGGTCTGGTTGAAGCAAGGGTTAACATATCAGTTAGATCATTTGTAAAATCTACCTGACTGACAGCACTACTGTATTCCAATTTAGTAAATGGCAATCTGTTTAATATTGTTTCACACTAGCCCTGATGTGACGTTTTGGTCCGAAACAAAAAGAGTGCAAATGAAGGTAAGAACAAAGAAGGAAGTCTGTCATAAACTGATTTATGTCATAAACCTCATAAAACCAATACCAGCCCCTATCCTACCAGAGCCTAAATAAACTGTGCCTCTGTGTTACAAATATGCCAGTACAGATGCCAAAATTTTTTTTTGCTTTGGATAGCATAGGGAATAGTTAAGACCCCTGTCAGTTTTTTTTTTACTGTGTGTCCTATTTGGGGGACTTTAGCAGGAAAAAAGAAATAGAAACTAAAGACCAAGAAGATATGGCCAAGAGTCTGATTATTATCAGGCAAATGCAGATTAAAATGGATATGCAGATGTAAGAAAGCAGCTAATATGCCCTCTTATTATAAAATTGCAAACATTAATTGGGTGATGCCTCCAATAGTCTCTTTAAAAAAAAAAAGAAGTCATATTATGACTTTAGCAGGAAAAAAGAAATAGAAACTAAAGACCAAGAAGATATGGCCAAGAGTCTGATTATTATCAGGCAAATGCAGATTAAAATGGATATGCAGATGTAAGAAAGCAGCTAATATGCCCTCTTATTATAAAATTGTAAACATTACACATAATTGGGTGATGCCTCCAATAGTCTCTTTAAAAAAATAAAAATAAGTCATATTAAGTTAGCACCTAAACGATCACTAAACTTCTCATGTCTGCATTCACTCAAACACAAATCGATCTCCACTGTCAGACGTTATTTGATATCTGAAGATTCCATTTCAGAAAGTAATATCCTGCAAAATGACAAAAGGACGAGGTCATCTTCCATAATTGCTTGTTACTCATTCAATGTGTGATGAGTTGTATTTATTTTGATCAAGGAAACCACCACAAATCCATTTGTAAAATGACACCATTTTTAATTAAACTAAAAACAGAAGCTGATCCCAAGACAGCAAAAAGACACGTGGCATTTCAACAGATAATGTCATGTCAATTATCCATATCCTTCTAAGCCAGAAGGTTTAGAAGAGAGAGTCATTCCATTGACCACGCTTGCAACAACAAGGACTGTACTGCAGGTCGCAATGCAAATCCTAAATACACCTGTGCTGTGCTTATGCTGGCAAAGTATCAGGTTCACTTAACTATATCTAAACCCAAAAACAAAAATCTAATATATTCCAGCTTCAGTACTTAGATGAGGAGGCTGCATTAGTTTTCTATGTTAAGGCTTTTCTCCTTTACTTTCACCTGGTAATCCTGTGAAGATCACACTCTCTGTACTAAGAGGGCTACCCTCACTCACTCACTCACATGTAGTTATGAATCGAGCCATGGTTGTCACCAAAGCTGGACTTCAAACATGGCTTCTCTTCAGGGAGGATTAGTAGTGTACAGAAGGAAGAGAACATTGTTTAAGATTTTAGTTCACTAACACCCCCCCCCCCTTTTTTTTCCGGATGGAGAGCGGCGGGAAATCAGTGCAAATCAATTTGCTGATCTCCCCTTGGGTAGTATGAACCCAGCATCGCTCAGCTCTGAGCACTTCCTGGTTAAGAGCTGTCAAATCACGGCTTTGGCCGGTGAAGAAGTTGATCAAGATCAGCTTGAACAAAGTTCAAAAACGACACTTGGGGTCAATAGACCCCAGATGTCTCCTTAAAAAGAACCTGTTGCCTGCACTATGCTATCACAAAGTAATTTCTTGTAACTCTAAACTGATGATTTCTAAAGGCTTTTAAAATGTTAGAGTACCGTCAATTTTCACTGTTTCAATGGCGCACACAATTTTGAGGCTTCACATAATCTGCAATTATTACTCAATGTAACTAATTAAATTTGAATGCATTTTGTAATGACAAAATAGATTTCCTAAACAGTACTGCAATTATCATGCGACATAAAACATTTTCTTCTACTTGCTTTCCACAATATAATGTTTTGGGGGTTTTAAGTAATCTACAGCCTAAATGTGCATTTTAACGTGTGCAAAATCCAAAACTTTGGGTAGAGAGTAGAAGATTTAATTGCTTATTGTTTTGTGGTTGCTTGCCTGTGTCCACACTGGGGAGATTGACAGCATACTGTGCCTATCTAGAGGCAGGGCCAGGTATGCCCGCCCCCTCCCCTGTCCATTCCTCCAGTCAGCCCTGTAGAAACGGAGAGGGGAGGAATCCCTGCAGTGACAGTCAGTCACCGCTCTCTGCAGGAAGAGGATCGGGAAGTCAGCAATCGGGGTATGAAATTGCTGACTTCCCGATCAATAGAGCCGACCTGTAACAGTGTCCCAGGTCGGCTTGAATTATGGGAATTAGTTTTTTTCTTTAATGTCCACTGATATTATGAAATTTAAACTCCAAATACATGTGTAGGGGTTATCATTTTCTAAGAATTCCCATAGTTCCACCTATTTTTGCACAGATTTTTAAAAATGATTAATTTTGAAAGGAAAAAAAAACCCTATTTAATGGATACAACATAAAACAGGGAACAAAACTGGTGTTCGTTTGCTCATGGTATCCAATTCAATTCATCGTTTGATTTACCCAGAAAATAAAAACAGGAAATCTAATTAGTCATTATGGACAACAGCTTCATATTCATTTCTCTAATCTTTTCTCCAGTTTTTATCATCAAGCTCCACGGAGTACAGCGTAAAAAATGAGAGAGTGCCATGTAGGAAGGGTAAGGTCTGGCTCTAACCATTTACAGGAGAAAAAGTGAATACATGTGCAAAACGAGCAAAAGCCAATTTGAAAAGGGAAAAAAAAAAAAACAGCCCTTAAATATATATTTGAGGAAGAAAAACATTTTGTACTTGCAAGCTCACAGGTATTATTTTACTCAATTTTCATTTTCAAAGTTGCAGTAAACTAAGCGGTGGCACTTTCTATGTGATGTGGATGTATTATAATAGATATAATTA